AAATCAAAAGAAACGAAACTAGCATACTGACTCTACTCACGCTCATGACCTGCTTGGGATTTTTATGCAGTAAAGATTTAGAACAGTGAGAAGCTCGTTAATCAATGTGACGAAAAGGACTTCATTAAATGTTTTGCACTCATGCAAGAAGCTCTTTCAGTTCCACTAAGCTTTGTCATTCCTACCTCTCTAAACTCAAAGCAGTTTCTGGGCGTTTCTTTTGCTCCGCTCACATTCTCCTTCACTCTCTGCTCTTTTTTCAGCGCAACATAAAGTCCTGCATCTCTGTGGAAACAGAGCAACCATGACTATGAACATGGTGCAGTTCTGATGCCAGCAGTTAAAAAAAAAAGAAGAAGTTGAATTCCTTTGTTTGTTGTACAAAATTTTTAAAAGTCTGGAATCAGTATGTGCAACAACTTTCCAAGTGCCCACAGATGTTACCTATGCTGAAGAAAGAGGTCACTCTATATACTATAGATATATTTACTTTACATGTTAAAACCTCTGTAGACTCCGTTTTTCAGACTGTGCACATCAACTGTAAACAGATATTTCACTATGTCGAATGTATCTTCCCACAGCCTGCTGTTCTTTGTGACGTTTCTGAGCCATGCAGCACTTATTTTTTTGACCCAGTTTGATCCATTGAATTTTAAAATGTTGCACAAAGTGATTTCACAGTAATTACACACATTTTAAGCTTAGATTTGGTTATTTTTCCTGATAGAATCTACACAATATGTTGACGGGAGGTCAGAAAGCTGAAAATCCAGGATTTTTCACAGATGCTGGTTAATAATGGTGCAATTTGTCACAGGCTGGTAAGGAAAAGGCTCTAAACCCACAGAACACCACAGAAATGCAGGAAAAAAGTCACAAAAGAAACTTTAATTATAACCTAAATAAAAGGCCATGGCCAGGCTGACAGGGGAGCAGACATTGGGTGGCTGCTAATCCAGGTAGAAAATAAACTAAAATTCTACGTGACAGCTATTGTAATCAATAAGAAACTGAAACAACAAACACAAACCTGAGAGCACAAAGAGCACATGGAGCAGAAGCATATAAACAGCATGAGAACAGAAACAAACTGGCAAGTGACAAGAGAAGGACAAGACTACTTCAACGCTGAGAACTGATGAACCTCATGAGGGCAATCAAAAGAGGAGGGAGGTAGAAAGTGAAAATACAAGTGACACATGAGGAAAGGTTGATTGAAAATAAAGATAAAATAAAAGGTAATAAACAAACCAAAAGCAAAGAACATGACACTAATATCTATCCATTCACTATACACCACTTAATCCTCACTAGGGTCACAGGGGGGCTGGAGTCTATCCCAGCTGACTCAGGGTGAAGGCAGGGGACACCCTGGACAGGTCACCAGTCTATCACAGGGCTACACTTAGAGACAGACAACCAAGCACACTCACATTCACACCTACGGACAATTTAGAATCACCAATTAACCTCAACATGTTTTTGGACTGTGTGGGAGGAAGCTGGAGAACCAAGAGAGAACCCACGCTGCACAGGGAGAACATGCAAACTCCACGCAGAAAGATCTCACTGGGACATGAACCGGCGACCTTCTAGCTGTGAGGCAACGATGCTAACCACGAGTCACCTTGCAGCCCATGACAGTAATATGATTTTTTTATTTTGATTTTTTTTAAGAAAAAAGAAAAGATGCCTTTTAAACCCGCTGGCAGTGTTTGGGGTTCAAATTGTTAACTACATGAAACTGACATCATCGTCTTAAGAACAAATGAATTTGTAGTGATTACTATGAATTTATTTTGACCTTGATTTGCCTTGTGTCACCTTCACCTCTTATGAGTTGAGGAAAGCATGTGAGAAATGTAGATTAAAAGTAATACATCATCATGAGCCAAACAGGAAAGATTCAGCTGTCTGTGGTCACGTTACGGAAATAATTCTGTTTGTATAAAGTCTGAGATTCGTGACAGACTTCCCGGCATCCGACAGCGTATGCCAGCTCTACTGGCCTTTGGCTGACTGCTGCCAGTGTCGCTCCAAACTGTTGACATGAAGACAAGCAGGGCACACATTTTCATATAAAAGTGCCTCTGAATCAAGAATGCCTTAGTGTGCCAGTAGGAAATGTCACATTCAAGTCACCTGCCACGTTCAAAAACAAACAAAGTGTGAAGCCATAAGATAAGATAAGCCTTTATTAATCCCACAGCGGGGAAATCTGCAGTGTTACAACATCAGAGGATAGATTCTAGTGTATGTAGAATAACTGATACTGCACCAGATTTGCTCACAATTAAACAAATATGTCAATCAGGTACTAACAAAAGCAACATATGTAGTTGTAAATTAAAACAGTAACAGATGTTTAGGGGGAATAGCGTCAATAAAAAGACGTAAGCAACTTTGCTAATGAGGTGATGCTTGTGCCACAGCAGACAGGTGTTTCCAGATGTTCAGTCCATGCACAGAGAAACAGGCAAGGTTGAAGGACTGGGAATGCATGACGAGAAACACATCTAGCTGACAAAATCTGATGATCTTGAGCAGCAGTGGCTCAGAATCAGCAGAAACCAAGAGAAGTCTGGTCCTCTAGAGCAGTGGTTCTCAAACTGGGGGTCGGGACACCCATGAGGGTCCCAAGATAATTTCAGGGGGTCACAAGATCATTGTCCAAAAAAGAAAAAGCCTACATTTATCAAATAAATTTGTATTAGGGCTGTCAAAATTAAAAGTGTGTACTTCTTCCCACTCCTTTTTTGAACTTGTTAATATCATGATTTGATTTTGCGATATTATTATTCTTTTTTGCTCTTTTTTAATGTTCTTTTTAAAATGATTTTCTTTTGTTTTTATAGTCTTTCATTTGTTTGAAATAAATTCAATTCATTCACTCATTCCAAAGAAAAGTAACATGTTAATGTAAAGATATTAATCTGTGTAATTAACAAATTAATTTTTAATGCATTAATGTGCGATCAACAGAGTTATTACTCATGATATATTAAAAATTCAAAATGGGGAGTCACGAACACAAACTTATGTTATCTTGGGGGTCATGGCTCAAAAGGTTTGAGAACCACTGCTCTAGAGCTATGGAAGACTTGACAAGTCAAAAATTTGTCTGATGTAGAAAAGAAAGTGAAGGGATCCTCTTTAAACACAAGAACTGAGGTGCATAAAAAAGAGTGGAGCTGCTCTGGACTGCTGCGTCATAATCTGAAAACATGTCAAATTTAGCTTCTTTTTCTGTTTTATTTTTGCTCTATTTGCATCATTAAAATGAAAAATAGTCTTGAAACATTACTTTACAAATGTTGTCTCTGTTTGATTTTTAGTGTATTTTAATTACTGTTACAGAAAATGTGTCTTAAATGCAGTTTAAAGTTGCAACAGTGTTATTTAGTTTTGTTTGTGGCCACTAGGGGGCAACGAAACTCCACTGCTTGACATATATGTTTTCACTGAAAGTGTCTTTCTTGATTTTAAGTTTTTATTTCCTTTGAATTATCTTTTAATAATTGTCTTCCTTTCAATAAAGTTTTTCCTATTTTAACACTGTGTTGGTTTTATATACCATGTTGACTTTTTTAATAAGCCCTTTTCATTCTTAACATTATAGTCTGTCTGCTGTTTTTGCTGCTTTGTGAGGAACTTTGTAACCTGGATTTTGAAAGTTCTATAGAAAGATTTATATTATTGTTTAATTAGTTTCTTCTTAAATATTTCCACTTGATGAATCTTGTTTGGACTTTAGCGTTCATTGCTGTGAATTCTTTGACATCATTTTATTTTTTTTAAAGCAAATGCTGAGAGTAATAGAAAACATTTTGTTATAGTTTGCATCTAAAACCGCAAACAATATGCACAGCGAAATATCATCATGATGATTGGGACAAGACTACCTAATATGTAAAATATTTAATTTATAGAAGTAATAATGCATGGTTGGGCACGTGTACATGTATAGCTGTATTGCCTCCTACAGGCAAAATACTGTGAAATACAACATCCACAATTACAAGAACATATATTCAGTATTTGAGCATGTTTTATACCAAACAAAGTAGAAATTTGTTTAATTAATTTTGATGGGGTAAAATTTAACAAAGGCTTATAGAGTGCATGTGCAAATTTAAATGTGAATTTATGCATTTGCTCATAGACTAACAAGCAAAACGATAAAATGTGTCATAAATGTCAATATCAGCTTGAATATCATGTCTAATATTTGATTTTCAACTGCAATATTTCAACTTCATGTACAATATTTCATGTGTAATATTGGTGGTTAGCACCGTCGCCCCACAGCAGGAAGGTTGCCGGTTCGCGTCCCGGCTGGGGCACCGGGAGTTTGCATGTTCTCCCCGTGCAGCGTGGGTTCTCTCCTGGTTCTCCGGCTTCCTCCCACACAGTCCAAAAACATGTTGAGGTTAACTGGTGATTCTAAATTGTCCGTAGGTGTGAATGTGAGTGTGCTTGGTTGTCTGTCTCTAAGTGTAGCCCTGTGATAGACTGGTGACCTGTCCAGGGTGTCCCCTGCCTTCACTCTGAGTCAGCTGGGATAGACTCCAGCCCCCCTCGTGACCTTAGTGAGGATTAAGCGGTGTATAGATAATGGATAGATGTATCAGACTTGTGTTATCATGCTTCTCTGTTAGACACAGCATTTCTTTAATGGCATGTCATTTGGTTTTCTATAACAGTATGTGGCACAACTATTTTAGCTGATTAATAAAGTTCTGTTTTATCTTTAACATGTCATCACTCCTGACTTTACTGCAGTCTTCTGGGCAAGAACAACAGTTATTTTGTATTAAAAATAACATTTCAACATCCACTAAATTTCCGCTCTCACCTGGTGTTTGCAGCTTATATTCCACACTCCAACCTGATGCTCATGTGAATCAGGTTGAAGATCCAAATTAATACCTGAATCTAAATCTAATAAACTGACACATGGACGCAAAACAAACCACAAACACAAACACAGCACTGTGTTTATTATGAGATTAAGACTTTAAAGATTCCCTCTTTATTGTAAATAAACGCCAGTTCAATAACACGATTATACCATCCAGCTCCACTGATCTGCTTCACTACGTCCGTGGAAAGAGTTTTAGTTGTGCATTCATGGAAGCCGTTCAATGCTACAAACTTATTTTGATGCATCTATTGTATTAATAAATCTAAATCCAGATAAAGGCAAAATAATCAGTACTACTGTCGCCTCTCAATTCTCTGATGTGCATCAGTAGCAGCAGTAAAAACAGGTCATAAAGATGTCAAAACAAAATCCAGCTCTTCATATGTGGATAAACCTGCTTTATATGCGGTGGAAAGGCGGATCATTAAGTCCTGAACAAGCCAAAAACAACAAACAGAGTTCAGACTTTGCACTAATTGAGGTATTACGGCCCTTAATCAAATCCCTCTACACCTGCTGAGAACTGCTGGGAACCTGTTTGCAGAGAGTTGGCACAATAAGGACAGTAGCATTAAGAAACAATCCAGCAGAACCCGTCTGGATGGAATTTAGTTTCCACTGTCAAAATGTCTCAAACCGGTCGGGTGAGCTCTGAGCTGCAGCTGTTCCAGTAATTAGTGATTTACAGGGATAAAAAAAACTACAGAAAAACAGAAGCCAAACTGATCTTCATTTGCAAAAACAACATGTTAAGGTTGATTTTAAAGAGAATGTTAAAGGTTTTGTTTGATTCGTCGCTAGATGTCCAATCACAAAGGCTCGAAACAGAAAATCTTTGAAGGATACGTTCACAAATTTAACAAATCTGTCTTAAAACAACAGTCAGGCGTTCATGTGTGAGTATTTTTCTTGTAATTTTTTAGATTTTTGTTTCTTGTAAATTTACGAGATTAAGTTTTTTTTTCTTCTTCTGACTATGATTGCAGAGAACAATCAAATTTTTTTTCTTGTAAATTAAGAATTTTAGTTGCAGAAAATATCATTTTTTCTTAATCTGAAAGAATATTAATTTTTTTTTTTTTTTAGAAATTTGAGATTTTTTTTCTTTTAAATTTCTCACTTTAATCACAGAAATAGCTGACTTTAATCACATAGAATATCAGAGGTTTTTCACACAAATTTCTGATTTCAATCGTAGAGAATATCTGAGTTTTGTTTAGTTTTTTTTTCCCCATAAATTTACCACGTAACCTCAGCAAATATCCAATTTTTTCTCCATATTTATGACTCGGGCTGCATCTAATGATTATTTTCACTCTTGATTAGTTGTTTGGATGTTAAAATGTCGGTCAGTGTTACCTAAAGCCCAAGATGGCGTAATTTAAACGTCATGTTCTGTCCACAACTCAAAGATGTTGAATTTACTGTTACAATTATCCACATTTAAGAAACTACAATCAAAGAATTGTGACATTTTTCTTTAAAAAAATCTTTCAAACCACTTAATTGATAATCAGAATAGCCAGTGATTATTTTACCAGTTCACAACTAAACGATTAATCGTTGCAGCTTTAGTTCAAACTCACTCATATCACTCACTAAACCTTCCATAACCTCCTCACCCTGACAACAGTCTGCTACCCTCCATTCATCTTCTGAAACTCTCCACATTCTCTCCATAATCCACCTTCCAGTGCAGCTTTAATGTCCTGAGCTTAATCTACTTTCAGGTCTTCTGTGTAAAATGTCTTTGAGTGCCTTTAAAAGCAGCATATAAATAAATTGTACTATGATTAAAATAGTTATGATTATAATTTCTTCACTTTTGCTTAATTTTTATTGACGTTCTTATTTTTTGTCCTTTTTTTCTCTGTTCTGTCCGTTACACATCATTTTTATTTTGTTAGTCACCAGAACAAATGATGACTTCATGCACATCGGGACGTGTGAGCATTGTTTTAAGAGAGATTTTTAAGATGGTGAACTTTCAGAGAATAAAATGATAATAAAAAAGTAAATGTGAGATTATCTGGGTTTAGTTCTCCAAGTCTGGAACTATAAGAGCTTTGCTGTCCTCCTCTCTCCTCTTCCTGCTGTAGCGATGAACAACCACAGCCAGCAGCACCAGCGACACCAAGAAGGCCGAGGCGAACACCACCGTGGTGACGTTGGAGGAGAGCATCGCCTTAAACTCAAATCTTCCTCTGCCTGATTTGACATCTGGAGCAGCAGGCGCAGAGTTCACTGAAAGACATCGACGATTGGTTTAGTTGTCAGATAGATCACACACACACACACACACACACACACACACACACACAGAAAATAGTGTTGAAATACAGCGGAATACTGCAACGCTCCAAAAATGTAAAAACGTTAAAAACAACTGAAAATATCTGTATCTGAAAATAATGATATTTTAGCTACTTCAAAAACAGTAAACTATAATTTTACAGATTTCATCTATCTATCTATCTATCTATCTATCTATCTATCTATCTATCTATCTATCTATCTATCTATCTATCTATCTATCTATCTAATAACAGCAAATATTTGTTACATAATATTTCTGGATTTGAATTTTAAGTACAGTTGAAAAGAAGGTAATATGATGGTCAAATGCTGTAAAAGAACACATCCCAATTTGTAAAAATACACATTTTTGCTGTGGACATTATTTACAGTTTTGGCCTGTTTTCTTACAGTTAGAATGTAAATCAGTGCTTTTTGGTATGATTTTACTAGATATGAGAAAATCTATAAAACGCTTATTTTTTTTTTATTACTTTGATTAATTAATACACATAATATTTATTTTAAAGGAAGAACAGCAAAACATCTACAAAATGACCATTTGTAATAATTTATTTTTAAACGTGATTTTTTTTTTGTTGTTGTGATTTTTGTCTGTAATTTAATCAAACTGTGAAAATCTTTAAAATAACAGTAAATTATTCCAACAAACTCCAGTTAACGCTGCCAAAACTAGTCCGTTTTTAGATGGATCGATACAAACCTGCAGCAGGAACGTCGTTCTTCGGCATCACAACGTTCGGCTCGTCCTCGGCTGCACTGGGAACCTCCTGCCTGACAAACTGCAGAGGACCCTGGGTAATGTAGTGACCCACCGTCTCCTTGCTCAGGCCTCGGCGGCGGCGCCTTCGGGACGGATCCTTCACGCATCCCTGAGCACATCTGGAGAACGGACTCTCAGGTTCGCACAGGATGACCGAGCAGGTGACGTACACCTGGAGGGAGGCAGGGAAGAGTTCTGCTATTGGAGGAAAGTGTCGTTTGTCCTGTGCATCTATTTACATTTCAACATGAGAGAGTCATGAAGAACTTCTCGTTTGTGCTTTCATGCTGTATTTGTTGTCTTACTGCTTCCCTGGAAGATGTGTTCAATGAGACACTACAACCAGATAGTAACTTTTATAATATTCTAGAGCTACACGACAAATTTTACAATTTTATGAATTTGTAGTTTTGTCTAGTGAATTGCTTCTTTAATTTCAGATGTTTTGTTACTGTGCCACTTCAATCTAGGAGTGTTCAAGTTTTTTTTTCTTATAAATTCAACACTTGAGTTGCGGAGAAGATCAGCTCTTTTCCTCTACAATTGTAAGTATTTGTTTGGTAGATTTACTAATTCAATGTCAAGAAATATTCAGGTTTTGTTTCGTGCAAATTTATTTAAAGAAAAAAAATCACAAACTTCTTTAACTGCAGAAAATGTTTGAGTTGTTTTTTTCTTGTCAAAGAGCCTCTTTTTTCTTAGATTTGTTTCTCGAAAATTTTCTACTTTAGTCCCACAGGATAGCTTTAATCTTTCTTTAATTTTTTTTTTAAATCTTGTAAATTTTTGACTTTAATATGAGAGATTATGATTTTCAGAATTTTTTTTCCTCTGACACTTAATCTCAAAACTACCCATGCTTTTTCATGTACATTTGCCACTTTAATCTCAAAGAATATCAGGTTTTTTTTCTCATAGATTTCCGACTTCAATCGCAGAAAATAACTTGTTTTAATCATTTATTTTAATATCCAGATTTTTGTCATAAATGTACTATTTCTAAGATTTTAGAGTTTTGTTCTTGGACATTCCCGGCTTTATTCTCACAGAATATTTGAATGTTTTACTGATAGATGTGTTTGAAAAATACAACTGTAATCTCTAGAGTTTTTCCTTTGAGTTTTTTGCCCCGTCCTCAGTTACCTGGTCGTAGTTTCCAGTAAATTTGAAGGCTTGAACGTGAAACTTGAACTCAGTTTGAGGTGAGCTGTAAACTTTCAGTGTCTCATCTTGCAGACACCTGGAAGAAAAACAGTTTGAGACATCGTCAATGAAAGCTGATCATCGTCTTGTCAAAACATTTTCAGATCAAGAGCATTTTTATCGTTTGATTTTCGACACTGACCCGTTCTTGATGAGGTCGTAGGAGATGGGGTTATCAGGGTTGTCGTCGGGCGTCGCTTTGCACGACTCCACGAACAGCGTCACATTCGGCAGCTCTGAATTCGCCTCAATGCCCATATAAATGGTGTCCAGCAGCTTGACCTCCACTGGGTAGGCGCTGGCATCCACCTTGCTTGTAAAGTTGCCATCGCGGAAAATCTCGAAAGTGTAGCCGAAACTGCCGAAGCTGGACTCGGTGAAGATGTAGTCCGACTTGTGGAGGTTGTAGTAGCTGGAGATGCTGACGGTTTTGGGAAACTGGCAGGAGAAGTCGATCTTCACCGTCTGTCTGCGGACTATAACCTCGTTGGGCAGCACAAAGGAGTTGATCTCATTCATGAAGACGATGAAATCACCTTTGTCCTAAATTTAAAATAAAAAGACCGGATGTAAAACCTGCTGGAGCCTGAGAGGAGAATAAACATTTCCACCCAACTTACACATTTCAGTTTTAACAGACAACTCGCAGAGTAATGAATATGTGTGGAAAACACACCTCGAGTTTTGTGCCGCAAGTGGTGAACGACATGACGCCCATGATGTGAGTGTTGTTGGAGGTGAGCGAGCACGTCGAGTCTCGGAGCTGCAGGAAGTTCTCGTCGATGCCGGGCATGGAAGCTTTCTCCAGGGCCACCGTCATCTTGTTGGGTGCGCACTGAACTGTGGCTTTACCTGAAGAAAGAAACACAAAGTCATTTTAGAGTATTGAAACATACTTAAACTCCATTCCATTTTTTTTTTCTGTGAAGTCTACTCTGACTAACTTGGGCTTTAAGATGAACAGCGATTTTCAATTGGACCGCCAAATCAGTGCGGTAGTAAAGTCGAGTTTCTTTCACCTCAGGCAGCTTGCAAAGGTGAAGCCTTTTCTCTCGCACCAGCACTTTGAACCATCAATCCATGCCTTCATTACCTCTCGACTTGATTATTCCAATGCACTTTATTTTGGAGTTAGCCAGTCCTCCCTTGCACATCTCCAGTTAGAGAGCCCGTCTGCTAACTGGAGCACGAAAAAGGAAGCACATCACACCCACCCTGGCCTCAATCCACTGGCTGCCTGTGCACTTCAGGGTTCATTTTAAGATCCTTTTAGTTGTTTTTAAATCTTTAAATGGCCTCGCCCCGCCCTACCTCTCTGAGCTTCTTCACCCCTACACGCCCCTGCACGGTACCGCCGGTCAGCTGATCAGCTGCTCCTTGAGGTACCGAGGTCCAAGCGAACGCTCGGAGGGGACCGAGCATTCTCTCTTGCTGCTCCTAAAATGTGGAACGACCTACCTTTGCACATCAAGCAGGCCTCCTCATTGTCTACTTTTAAAACCAATCTTAAAACCTACTTTTATTCACTGGCTTTCAACCCAGCATGAGACCTCGCTCTGTTTTAGTTGTTTTTATTTGTTCTATGCTGTTTTTATTGTTGGTTTGTTTTGTTGTCTTTATGACCCCCCATGTACAGCACTTTGTTTCAGCTGTGGCTGTTCTTAAGCACTTTATAAATAAAGTTGACTTGATTTGATTTGATTCCAAATGATATTAAATGGTTAGGATGCTAAATGAAACAACAGATTTCAGGCTGTGGTTGCTGCTGAATAGGATAAATCTTAACAAGAAAACAATTTTGTAAGGAGATGTCCATCCATCCATCCATCCATCCATCCATCCATCCATCTTTTTCTGCTTATCCGGGGTCGGGAGAGGGAGTGGATGAAGCAGGTTATCCCAGATGTTCATCTCCCAGGCAACACTTTCCAGTTCTTCCTGGAGGATCCCAAGAGTTCCCAGGCTAGATGAGATATATAATCCCTACAGCCAGTTCTGGGGTCTCCTTGCAGGCAGACGTGCTCAAAAAACCTCCAAAAGGAAGTCAGTTTCAACTGGGACAGAAACTCATTTCGGCTGATGGTACCCACGATCTTGTTCTTTCAATCACTACCCAGAGCTCATGACCAGAGATGAAGGTTGGAATATTCAACCTGATTTTAGTCACGACAACTCCGTATCCTTATAATCTTTCTAATCGAAACTCTTAGATGTTGAATCAACAGAAAATTGCTCTGTATTTATATCTTATTTGCACTTTGGACTATTGCTTCAAATCATCACTCTTTTTATGAGCAGTTTCAACTCAGACTACAAGAAAACTACAATATCTTAATTCATTTTAACTCTGTGCCACCTTAAAGATCAGTAAACACAAGACAGTTCACTACAGGATCAAGATCAACCCAGTGAATTACAGTGATTGTTTCTTTAAACCGTGATCACGGGTTTTAATAATCGGAGGTTTTATGGTGACGATCACAGCCTGAATGTGAATGTAGGTGTTATTTTTACAGCCTCAGCTGTCTAAATCCAGCAATAGCTTGTTAGATGATTGGTCATTTCCATTTTTTGAAACAGAGAGAACAGATGATAACAAACCTTGAGTGATAGACGCTTGGGTCACCATGACAACAACGCACCTCATCTCTGATTGGCTAAATGACAAAACAAAGAAAACACGTTTAGGAGAAAAACACTGAAACAACAACAACAACATTAATATCCGTAACTACAAAAACAGTGCATCTGTCTAAGAGATAAATAGGTTAAAAGCCTTCATTTTATACACCTCAGGTTAATGATTAATATCAAATGAGGTGTTTGAGCGTCAAAATTGAATTGAACATGACTGTAGCTAACAGCACTGCGTTGGGTTTTTACCTCTGCTTTCTAGTTTTTGTGAAATTTTTAGGTTGGCTTTTACCCATATTTTTTGACACAATGAGATGTCAGTAAATCAGGTTCTAATCCTAACTTAGTTTGTAATATTTTAGGCCTCATGGCTAAGACCTGATGCAGCAGTAAATTACAACTAGAAGATGTGTGAAGAAATTTTGAGCAAACCAATGCAGCCTTTTCTGATTAATATGTCCTAATAATCATAATAATAATCATTTATACAAGTTAATTCTTATGTTGAAAAGCCAGCATGATTTACAAACTGTGATCTGTACCTTTTAACATCGTCAGGCTTTTACTTTGAAAGACTAAGGATTAGCTCCACGAACAAGCGGTCACAGCTCAAAAACTATAAGTCGTATCGAAACAACTCTTTGATTGTATGAAGCACAGTCCTGCTCTGACAACACGGATGTGTTTTTATGCCTGTAATGTTTAATATACAGATTTGGTGGCAGATTAGAGAGTCATCATTTCTGATTTTCATCCAAAAATTTGGTTGCCGCACTCTGTGCTCTGAGGTGATGTATGAAAAAACATAAATCCTACAGTAATGTAACTCACACTGGGTGAAAGACAACAAAAGTGGCCACATTTTTGTGCATAAATTGTTCGTATAGAGTAGAAATCGTGGGAAGGAAACATGATTTGCTGCACTTTTTTTTTTTTAATAAAATGTATTTGGTCAAAATTTCTAGCCAAAGAAAAATCCCGGAATTGCAGAAATTCATAAAACTTAAACTGCGACTGCATAAAAACTGTAAAAGACCTCAAAACACGCATTTAGACCAATAATCTTCAAAGCCTTGTGATCTGTTTAGAGTTCAAATGGAGTGTCTACTGTAAAATATGCCAGAGCTACAGGGTTACAAAGATGGCTGGGTTTTGACAGTTGTCCAGCTGACTTCTCATTGATTTAAATGGGGATTTTTAACTCAAGTTTTTTTTTTATTTTGTTACAAAACTAACAAAAGCCAAAACACAGTATTCCTGAAGCGTTTTGAATTCGTATGGGTTTTCTTAAAGCTGTGGGACGAGTTAGGTGCCGAAAATAATGTTGGAACAATCGATAATAATAATAAGCTCCTTGGATAACAGTAAGTGTGCTTTAATGCTTATGCTTTGGCAACCTTAGTAAGGCTTTTCTGACATCTTCTTTTTGAATATTTAAAATGAACAGAGACGAGATTTTAAACATGATTTAGTTTTCAGATGTGACTGAAATGATGTGAGGCTTAAGCATTTAAAAAAAATAAAAAATCAGGGAAAAAAGTGTACAATAGTTCTTCCAACGTGGCACAAAGTAGTGAACAGAAAACTATTTTTAAAAAAAAGAAAAGAAAAGAAAAGAAAAAGAAAAAACACACAAAGTGCTCACGTGTCTTTTGCTTCTGCAGTGAAGCAGACCGGAACGAATCTGTAGAGGTCGCTCTGCTGTGGCGTCCAGCTCATGGTCACTTCAGCTTTTCCCAATTCACCGTCTTTGAAGTTTTTGGTCATGTTGTGGGGGCCGCTGACCTGGAAGTCGAGGATGCTTCAGGGAAATGACAGAAAAGTGCAAGCATTAGTAATAACAATAATAATAATAAAAATGATAATAATAATAATAATTAGTTGGGTGTGTGTCTGTATTTCATGGTACTTGTTTACCTGGAATGGTCCGCCTGTGCTTGAGCATAAAGCTGGAACGTCTGACCCACGGTGGCATGAAGAACGGCGCCGTGAGAAGGAGTCCTGGACAGGAACATCGGCTGGACGTGGCCCAACTCACAGTTAGGGATCGGCTCAAGGACTGAAACACAAAACACAGCAGGTCAGCCAGACAGAAATAAACTACAATGTTGGTCCTGTTTGTAAGGGTTTGTGCTCTTTCTGTGGTTATGTGTCTGGTTTATTTTTTTGTGTGTGTTTTTGTTGCTTTACATTAGGTTTGCATTGTTTTGTTGTTGTTCAGTGTCTTGTTTTTGTGTTTGGATTTGTGACTCTGTTGGTTTGTGCCTTGTTTGTGTTGTTTTTGTGTCTTATTTCTGTTGTTTTATGTCCTACTTTTGTTATTTAGTGTTTTGTTATGGTATTTTCAGTATTTTGATTTGTGTCTGTTTTTGTTGTCCGTGCCTTGTTTCTGTTGTTTTGTGTGTTTTTTGTTGTTTTGCACTGTTTTATGTCCTACTTTTGTTGTTTGGTGTCTTGTTTTTGTCGTCTTTGTGTTTGGATTTGCAACTCGTGTTGTTTTTGTGTCTAATTTCTGTTGTTTTGTGTGTTTTTTGTTGTTTTGCGTTTGGTTTGTGTTGTTTTATGTCTTATTTTTGTTGTTTAGTGTTTTGTTTTTGTACTTTGTATTTCAATTTGTGTCTGATTTTGTTGTCTGTGCCTTATTTCTGTTGTTTTGTGTGTTTTTTGTTGTTTTGTGTTTGGTTTGCGTTGTTTTATGTCCTACTTTTTTTTGTTTAGTGTCTTGTTTTTGTCGTTTTTGTGTTTCAATTCATGACTCTTGTGTTGTTTTTGTGTCTTACGTCTGTTGTTTTGTGTGTTTTCTGTTCATTTGCACTTGGTTTGTGTTATTTTATGTCCTACTTTTGTTATTTAGTGTCTTCTTTTTGTCGTTTTTGTGTGTCAATTTGTGTTTCTTTTTTTTTGTTGTCTGGTTTTTGTCATCAAGGATCACTTCACCTGATGAACATTAGTGTTTGAATAACTCACTCTCCAATGAGAACTGCAGCTTCACTTTGCACAGAGGCGGTAAACCGGTGTTGGATGTGTCCCGATACGCCGTCGTTTTATCTGCGTACGTCACAGTGACGTTTTTGGTGGTGACGTCCTCCAGCATCAGCGCGAACAGGTGGACTCCGGTTGTGACGTTTCCTGTCCTGGTCAGCGTGCAGGCAGCCTGGAGGGTAAATGAAGAACATCAAGCATTGTGCTGGTTTCTTTCAGTCGTTTTGTTTTTTCTGTTTTAACTCACAGCTGCTTTGATTTGACCTGCATTATTTTTATCGTCTATTCTTGTCATCCAATTGAGTTTTTTTAACTCTTTTATTTTTTGTTTAATTCTCTTTTACTCTCTATTTATTTAAATATTTATTTAATTTATTTGCTACTATTATTATTTTTTATCCTCGTGTTCATGGATTTACCCTCTATTTTCTTTGATTCCACCTATTCTTAATTGGATGAGCATTTTATCATTTAATCCAGTGTTGTTGTATTGATCACTTTTAGAAATCTTTTACCATGTTTATTTCTGTTTTTACACTGTTGCCTCTGTGGTCTTTCTCCTTCTGTTTGGACTGATTGGCCTTCTGTTGTTCAATGATTAGACCCAGGACCAGTGGATTAGTCTTTTGTCCATGTTTTCTTTTCTGCAAAGTTTGTGAAGTTCTTTACCATCTCTTTGGTAAGTTCTTAAAATATGCTATGTAATTATTATTACTATTGCTGGTTTATCAGTTACACCTTACAGCGTTATAACTTCATTCCATTATGTCCTGACCTGCTTTTGGACCACGCCTGACAACGTGGACTCTCTTTGCTTTTGTCTGCTTCTTTTGCTTTCGATTGTGTGCCTCTTTCCTTTTTAAAACTACCTTTGAAAAAAACAAAACAAGAAAATCTTCAATCTTCCTGACTGGTTTCTGAGTCACGCTTTTGGTTCCTCAATCTGATTTCTGACAAGATATGAAGAAGCAGATAATTTTGCATGCTTGATAAACCATCTGATGAATGCAAAGACGTGCACGCGATCGCCTGGGAAGTACTAACATGCAAATAATCTTCTTCTGTTACAAAGTTAGAATCTAACATACATATACATGAACACGTATCTATTCCATGTGTTTAATACATGCTGTAAATGTACCTACGGTGTCTACAATATGACATTGCTGGTTCATTAAAGTAAAATAATACGATAAAATAAGATAATCTTTATTGATCCTTCACCGGGGAAATTCACAATGTATAAAGTGTATTTAGCATTTGTAATGGATTACCTCGTCCAGAGTGATGCCCGGGGCTTGCGTGGCGTTTGAAGCGTAACTGCATTTCACTTTATCTCCGTCCGGATCGTACGCCAGCAGACGAATCTTTGAAAGACAGTTCTGAGGGACCCTGCATGAGCACACACACAACAGTTGGATATGTCACATTAGTGCACAGAGCTGTAATTTTAGATTGAATGTATTTTTCTTAGAAGTATACTTGGACCATCTGCTTTGGCAGCCAGTGATGAAAAATGACCAGTATTCTGCATATTCTAGTTTGAGAAGTTTATACTGAAAAAAAAATGAATCAACACTTGAATATAATCTTAAAAGAAAGGAGTGGACTTTTCGTCATTGTTTCTGTCATTAGATGTGATCCATGTGAATTATTAAGTTACAAGTTACGATCAAAAAGTTTGGGACTGTTTGTTCATTTTAATATATCGATAAAAAAAAAAAAAAGACAAAAGAGACAAAAATTCCTTTTCTGCTGATCACATTTCTTCGTCCATTCTTACCAAACTTAAGTAAGATTTATTCAACTGAGAGGAGAGGAGTGGTGATATGTACAAGTTATACGATGTAGAGCTTTGTATTTGGGGTGCAGTCCACACCAGCAGATTATAAATTGCTTGACTCTCCTCTTGGTACGTTGACACTGAAAACCTAATGTTGGTTAGTCCCGTCTAGTAAATATCGAATGATGTAACTGAGCTTAGAGGTGATATTGCAATTTCCAAGTATGCAGGACTCCACATTGTATGTCAGCTGCGAGTCACCAGCTGTTTGCAGTGAGAAGAGAAAAGAACTAAGAATTAGCTCCTCAAACAAAAGGTCACAGCTCAAAAACTATAAGTTGTATTAAAAAAATTCTTTCACCATGTTAAACGCAATCTTATTTTAAACAAGCTGATGTATTTTCATGTGCGTACTGTGTATTATATAGATTTGATGGCAGGTTAGAGAGACTCACTGTTTCTGATTTTCACCTAAATGTTTGGAGCTTTGACATAACGGGAGTCAACAAGAGTTTAGGTCGGCGCACTCTGCGCTGAGAAGTGATTTATAAAGAAATATATAAATCCTATGATAATTAGATTCACACTGCGTGAAAGAGAACAAAAATGCCTCCGTTTATATATAGAAATTATTCATGTAGAGGAGAAATTGTGAGAAGGAGACAAAATTAGCTGCACTTTTTCACAAATTAATTTGGTCAGACTTACTCTAACTGAATGAAAGTTTTGAATTTTCAAAATAAACTAATGAAATGTAAACTGCCACTGAGTGAAAGCCATAAAAGATATCAAATAACAGATTGAAATGAATCCTATTCAAAGCCTTGTGGCCCTTTTAAACTTCAAATGAAGTTTCTACTGTAAAATATGCCAGTGTCAAGGCTGACTTCCTGTCCAATTTCATAGGAATTTTTTAGGCAGTTTTTTATGAACTTTGTAAAAAAGCGTACGATAAATCGCTAACAAAAGTCATTGCACACTGTCCCCGGTCAAGCTGCATTCTTTGATATATCATTTGAATGAGTTTTTTAAAAGCTGCAGGACGAGATAGGTACAAAAAATCATGTCAGAAGAATCTATAGGAAGTAGCCTCAGGAATAACAGTCAGTGAGATTCTTTTTCTGCGATTCAAATGTGCACTGACATATATATATATACTGTACATAAGTGACTGATATTCGTACTCTTCTGTAGCTGCAGAGCTTTGTTTCTTAGCTTTATCCCCGAAGAAGAAATGTTTGTACCGTAAAGAAGACACTGTTGTCGTCACCGGACAGCTGTTGATGCTCTGGGTGTCAGATCGAGTTCCCAGGTCCAGCTCTGCACCACTCGTCCAGCCTACTGTGTCTCCTGCCACATTCGACTCCCAGCAGCAGCCTGAGCGGCTGAAAAACAGGAGGGAAAATGTCACTTACATATATACTGATGCACAGATAGACACCAACACAAGGCCATCTGGGAAATGAAGAAGGCCTTTATTTACCTGAACTCTGTATCCACACACTGACACTAAGCAGCATGTATGTTCTGTGTCATAAGCCGGTGCCAAGATGAATCCACCAGGAGATTGAAGTCAAAAAGTTGCTGAATATTTCTTGCTTTTTCAGTTTTTTGTGTTTTTCTTGTGAAATACTCAACACGTCAGGCCTCTGAAAACTCTTCAAGTGACATAAATGTAGTTATTTGGGTGAACTGCTGGTTGCACAACTGCCAAAAATGTTAATATTTACTTATTTTGAATATTAATCATCTGCATATTTACACATTTACACTATTGGTAATATTGTCATTATACAAATCCAGTTTTCTTACTTTTATTCTTTTTTATTTATGTCCATTTAATCTTTTTCATGTGTTTATATTTACTTCATCTTCTTATTTATATTTTAACTGCCTCATTTATTGTTTTAGTTTTTGTGAAGCAGCTTGTAACATTGTTTTAAAAAGCACTAAATAAATGAAGTGCATTATTATCAGTAATGTTGATGTTCACCGGGTTTCTAACGCAAAGCTAAAGAAGCTAAAGTAAAGGAATTTCTAAAACGTAAATGTAGTTGAAATTTGGTTGCAATAAACATGTTAATTGAACATATAGTATAACTAAACCTAAGTTTTACTAAAACTCTATTGAATTTGCAAACACATAATACCTCATTTTAAATTTATAGACAGCACAAAAGATTTTTTAAAATTCAAATTAAAGGAAAATAAGTGTTTGGAAAAACAATAAAACATAAACATGTGAAAAATGATGTGCATCTGTATGTGTATATGATATGCACATACTATAAATAATAAGCAATGAAAGGGAAACCAAAAGCACAGAGTATTTCCTGGGATAATCCTCAAAGTTGTATGTGAAAGTCACAGATGAAACACTTAAATACAACTATTTTAATTCAGATTAACAACGTGTCTCGTTTGTCATTTGAATAAACAGAATATTTGATCATTTAAGATCAACTATACTTTGATGAAGATATTCCCCAAATGCCGAATGACAAGAAAGATCTGCATTCTGACCGTAAATCCAAAATATGGGGAAGTGATGTTACAGACAACGACATCCGCTGTCTTTGTTCTTTTAATCTTTTAATCATTATTGCTTTTCACAGGAAACGCGTTCTGTGCCTTGGTCTAGCAGAGACACTCCCTGTACTTGTCACATCAATAATGGCTGCGCTCTATTCAAGTGTCTCGGAGGGTTTGGCAGGAATCAGTAAAACATATGCATCACTTCACACCTGAGGTATTTACAGCGCTTAAAGGCTGAAGAACTTTGAAACTATGTCTGTGAAGATTCTCAGTCATCCAGGTCATGGTTACTCTCGTAGATTATTGGCAGCAACTGGACTTGTTTGAGTTCCTAGAAGACGTTTCACCTCTCATCCAAGAGGCTTCATCAGTTCACACTGACTATCTGTCCTCCCTGGCCAAAATCTGTACGTTGTACAAAAACCATCTACGTCAAACTGGAAAGACCATCACTCAACAGAGGTGGAGGTCTGAGGCATCACCTCTCACTTGTTTATAATTCAGTCTTAAGATCTCGCCCCAGGAAGATGAAACCACATTCACACCTTGTCACAAAAGACCCTAACAACCCCTATTGTGGCAGGGGGAGCACTAACGACTCACATAACGAGGGGGAGGAGCAACTAACCCCCAATTGTAACCGAAACTCAGGTGTTAATGGCTCTTTAAGGATATAAGTATCTGGATCTCCCAACTAGTCAGTCAGAAGTGATGAAGCCTGTTGGATGAGAGGTGGAACGTCTTCAAGGAACTCAAGCAAGTCCAGTTCCTATGATTAATCTGTGAGAATAACTTTGAAACTACGTTATTTCTGTGACAACTGTCACTGTGACAATACTGAAATTTGTCATCTTCCCAGCATGATGCCCTTCTCAGACACGGGTCAAGCAACATTTGCTGCTTCATCAGTCTGTTAAAGTGAAAGCAAACGTCACTTTTACATTAATGCTTCTCGTAATACACTAATAAACAAAATCTAAATTCAGAATTTAGCAATCGATCTACTTGCTGCTAGATCCTGATTGATTCTGTCTCTGTGTCAGGGATAATTTATAATTATAAGTAATTAAAGAAGTTATTGCTGTTGTACATAAATGTCTCTTTCTGGAGACGCTCCTGTGGATCCTGCTGCTGTGTGATGTTCCAGATATTTAATCACCTCAGAGAACAAACTCCTATAAACAACTGGAAGCAACAAGCTAAAGTTCAGTTCAGTAATGTGACCAGTTACAGTAAAGCTTGATTTTTACGGGCAAATCAGTTTGTTATAGATGTGAAACTGTAGTGCAAAGTGAGTCTCAAAGGTGTTTTGGGATTTTTTTTTGGACAAATATCGGTGTTGAAATGTGGGAAAAGTCTTCAAATCAACTCAAAGCACTGCCTCTTGTGGGTGCCTTTCTATCAATGTGACTGCATGTAGCTCAACCATTTTAAAGTGGTTCATAAGTGATTAAGTCCAACCTAGAAAGATCGCTGCTGCAGCTGTTAGAGAAAAGTGAGCAGGTTGTTTATTCAGGCATGAAGCGTTCAAATGCCGTAAGATAAATAGAAAGAAATGCATGTTTAAAAAAGGCTCCTGTATGACTAGATTTATTAACTTCTCAGCAGAGAAATTCACAACAGCAAAGGGGAGAGTGTGAAAATTTAAGGATATCTGTGGAACTATAAACATAGTCAATACAGTTTTGTCCTAAACATTATTTTAAAGGAACACACAGCCATCAGTTCTATTTTTATGTCTTTATAGTAATTTTGACAACAAACTGAGCCTCCAAAATACATAGTATGGCCACAAGTTGCAGCATATTAGGCGGTAAAAATGAAAACAATCAGCCTTATAGTAAAACCTGTAAATGTGTCGACGAATCAAGTTTTAATGAAAGCAAATCCTGACGACACTAAACGAGAACATGCTGTTCTTTAATGGGGAATGCAAGAAAACGCGATATTAAATGATATTTACTATATTCCTTGTATTGTAAAAGCTCATAATAACTTATGTCAAATTTACTTTTGCCAATACGTCCATGTAAATAGATATGACTTTCTTTTATTTTTTTTAAATTATTTGTGTATTTGTATTTTTGGACTTAAAATTTTGACTCCAACTGACTAAATGTACTCACATAATTTTAACTTTCACTAAATTAATAGAAGTGCTTTAACGTTAAATAGTGTGCACCTCAAAATCTTGTAACTTTTAACTGAACAGTTTAGGTTTAATAAACTCAAATCCTAAATTTAAGACCTTAAAATTCTCTTCTTAAAGTTTTACTGAAGTCTGCTGCTCTTGTTGTTCTTTTTTGTTCTGTTAAAGTTTAGTTTAGCTTTATTTTGCATTATTGTTATTTCCTAGTTTTATTCGTATTATTTTTACTGATTGTTTTATCTTTTATATCTTATCTGAACAACCCATTCAGCATTTTGTCTCACTCTAGTGTGTAGATTTATTTTTATCATCCCATGTTCTGTCGGTCGCTTGTGAAGCACTTTGAGCTGCATTTGATTTCTGTGAGAAGTGCTGTATGAGTAAAGTTTGACTGATCGACTGATAGTTATGCTTCATGATGCTCCTCATCCACATACACACCTGCAGAGTTTTCTCATTCAACCTTGACTTCAGCCCATAAAGGACACCTGAGCAGCACTCACAGGCGAGAAAAACTGAATACCATCAAAGCCTGACTCCTAATTAGACAAACACAAGTCGGAGGAGTTGGATTTCTGCAACCTGGACTCACCTCAGCGAAAGTGAGGTTTTAGTTGTTGAGACAGTTGCTGTTGTGCGTCCTTCGCTCTGACACCACCTGGGCTGGGCAGCGTTTTCCTGGTCCGTTGGCAGGACGCTGGACTTGTCAAAGTTTGTGCAAACTCCATCACCGCATGTGAAGGTTGACTCATTTTTGCAGCTGCCTTTGCTGTTTTGTCGATGATAGAAGGTCACCTGCAGGGATTTGGAAGATACACGCTGATGGGTTGGACTCAGTGCAGAGAAAAGCCTGAAAAGAGCAAACTGTACAACTGGAATTCTTTCCTTTTATTCTACATTTTTGTCTTTGCAGGTTGTAAACATTCCAAAATGTCAGTAAATGCTGCAGGTGACTGTACAGTTGTATAAGGCCTTTGGTATGGGTGACATGCAGGTGTTTCACAAGCCAAGAGGCAGTTGTTGCTACGTAGCTGCCTGCTTCCTCAAGTCAGTCATTACTCTGATTCTGTTCACAAACACCATAATTTAATTAAAAAATACAAATTTTAAAACACTAACCTGTATTAGTGGTCTGATTGCTACAGCGTTATAAGTTATTTTTGGCCTTCTGCTTCCTACAAGCATGATACAGTAGAAAATGCGAAGAATTGTAAAGATCTACCTTATATGTGCCGTCGTTGTTCCTCTGTGGAGGCATGAAACTAAGGCTGTCTCCATAAAAAGTGGCGGTCGAAGCAACTCCCAGCGACAGGAGGAGCAGCAGGAGGACTGCACCTGCCTCCATGATGTCTTACTGAATCTGATCGTACAGGAGCTCGTTCACTCAGTTTCAATGTCAGAGCTGGAAGAGGCGGCTCCTTTTAGAAGTCACCCAACAGGACCAACCTGATCGGAGCTGCCAAAACTATTTATAATGTATTTTTCAAAAAGAGAAAAAGATTGTTGCAATGTGAAAGGCACAAAAGATAAGAACAGACACTGGGATATTTATTTGCTGGTTTAGGATGTCATAGTTATCAAGTCACCTGTTTTCTCCTTTGCTTTGGTTTTATGTGTGTGAAGAATCAGTTATTTTAGGACAGCAATAAAATATTCAATCTGTAATAGTCAAACGTAACTATAAGCAGGTTTAGAGTCAAATAAAAGCTCAAATAATAAACTGGGAAGTGCCCCCCAGTATGTCTAATGTGTGTAAATGTGCTACATCACCAACCAGAACAACATGACCCATGATCATGGGAAGTATTCGGGCCTTTTCCTGCTCAGAACGGGCCGTTGGAGGGTGACTGCGTACAACAGTAAGACAGCTCTGTCTACATACAGTAAAGCCAATGAGTCTGTTTTACATTATTTGACAGAAATCTGCATTTTCATTTAACTTCAGATCATTTGATAAACAAAAATGTCTGTTATCTTTAAGTAAACAATTTTTTTTTGTGGTGGTGTCAAAAAAATCCCTTTGAGAATAAAAACCCTGCTATGTATTTATCTATTTTAATAGGTACAGAGACAGAAATCTTCTCCAAATATCATAGGAACAGGGCATGGTTATTGTAGCAAATAAACATATTTAATTAAAGAAAAACCAAATGAAGACTTAATGTATGTTTCAAAAAATGCTGTAATGTTGATGATTTTGCATCCAATAATTAAATAATGATTACTAATTAAATGATCCTGAAGAAGCGCTCTCTCATTTTGCCTGTACTACTGTGTATGTACAGCAAAATGACAATAAACTTGATTTGATTAGATTTAATAAATGCTGTATAAAGCCAACATGCAGAATCCAAAAATTCCAAACAGAGAAAAACGATATTTTTGTGATTTACTTCTGCCAAGTGTCAACATCAAATGATATTAATTAAATGAGAGAGAAGTGAATTTCAGATATTTTGACTGACCTTCAGGCTGACCTTGGCTGCTTTGTTTGCCATAGTGTTGCCGTAGTGCAATTCATATCCATGCAGTGCACTATTTCTTATATTTATATGTACATTTTTTAATTTTTTATTCTTTCCTGTCTCGTATATGTGTACCTCTGTTGAAAGCTGCTATCAACGATGTGAATTTCTCTACTGTGAGATAAATAAAGGCATATCTTATCTTATCTTATCTTATCTTAAAAGCTGCAGTAGGAACACATTTGTGGGAGGAAATCACTTAGTTTTGATGTAAATTGGAGAGCAGTTAGTTCATCTTCTGTCAGATTTACTACCTGATACCTAAACAATGACAAAACCTTCTATCCTGTAACATATATGCATCTACTTGCAGAAACTGAAAAGAACTTCCATTAAATATTCTGAAGTATTTTGGAGCTTTCTGTCTTAGACAAGCAACTAAAACCAGACTGGCCTTTTGTAATGAAGCTTTCAGCTCCTGGAACGGGAAAACAGTGTTACTGTGATTCTCATGGTACCATATGCAGCAAGAAAACAGCAACAGTGATGATACAGTGCAGAAATTTTGTAAAAGATTTTGTAGGTAATACACACTTGGTGCAATGCAGGACCGATATGTAAGGGAAACTAGCTCTGGGCCTTTTTGTCTGAGAAACGTGCTCGATAAGTCTGACGCAGCAGACATCTCTTCAGGTTCTCCAGATCCCAACAGCAAAAAGAGACATTTTTGCGTCACTTTATTTCAGGAATTCTTAACGATTGTTTTGTCAAGAGACTTTTGGTCACTCAAGATACAGACTTAATCTTGTTTGTTGATCCTATTAAGAGCTGCTAAGGCTGTGTTTGTAACACCTTTGCAAAGGAGGTGACACTTAAAATTAGGTTGGACAGACTTTGTTCACTCACTGTACTATACAAGTACATTAGAACCTGTGTATATTACAGTTCACATTGTATCATAACTTTTAGCTTCATGCTAACGTAGGGGAATCACTACAGACAAAAACATTGTTTTTTAATGCTCTGGTCAATTTTTAGATTTTAGGATATTTTACTTCTTTTCTCAGACTGGTGGGAAGTAATCAGCCGGGGGAGGTTTATGATGATATCTCTTAGTTTGCAATGTTACCTGTGATTTCCAATTTGCAACAATTGTTTTCTCAAGAGCCCTGTAGTCAATGGAGATGCGGACATAATCTGCTGTGTTGATCTCATTAAGGGATAGATTCTGATGGGTTTAGTAGTAAATGGTCTGGGAATTAGTGCAGACAGCAGAAACAGATATCAGACGTGTTGTATAAATTAAAACGGAGAAAATAATTTTAGGAAACATCATTAATACTATATTTTGTAGGCTGTGCCACGTTTACTTTTAAGTATTTTCTTTTTGCGTTTCGCTCAAGCAAAACTTTCGCTTTTCTTATATTTGGGGCAAACAGCTTACCGTAGTTACGTCACCTTATGGAAATTGTTAGAGTGGCAAGATGGCTACGGAACCAAATAAGACCGAGATCCTTACCATTTTCAAGAGGTTAAGATCAATTCCGACGAACAAGGTAACCGAACACGACGCTGTCGCTGGTTGTGTATGACTCTGTGAACTCGTTTCTATCGACAGTCGTCGGTTAACTTCATCTGTCCGGTTTAGAACAGCTAGCTGGCCAGCTAGCCGTTTTGTAGCTAGGCCCGGCTAACAGGAGCTAACGCCTGCGAGCTACCGGTAAAGCAGTGAAACATAAAGGCCACGTAAACGGTTTGTGTCTGCCAGAGGAAGCTGACCAATAAACCAGCTCAAACTGTGATAGAGTAGAGAAATGGAAGTACAATAAGTTAAATGATTACATTGACCTCTAATGTAAGGCCCGCAGTTTGGTGAAAATAGTGACACTAAGGTATATGTTAACAGTCGTGATGTTTGACTGTATTGATCCATATGTTGCTAACTGAAGCTAGCCGAAGCTCATCTACAGCAACTAGCTGATATTTGGCAGCGATACTGCTGGTGTACTAGAGCAATATGATCAGTTTTACAATCATTTTAAATATGTCAAGCCTAACGCCTGTGTCAGTGTTTTTCCACTGCTCCAGTACGATGCTAGGCCTATAATTAAATATATATATATCAATGTATGGTTTGGCACTGTGAATCAGACTGTTGTCTTCAACTCAAACTCTAAAGCTACGATGTTAAAGGAAGAGCCTCGTGTCACTAGTCAGTCATTCATACTTTACTTTTACAGGATGGAGGTATTCATAGTGTTTTACATGTTTGACAAGCTGACAATAAGGCAGTTCACATGTAATAACATGAAACAATTTGAGATCAAAGGAAAATTAGAACTGCAATGATGAAGTAATTAGTTGTCAACTATTAAACTGACTGCTAACTGTTCTGATAATCAATTAAATAGTTTGAGTATATTTTGAAGGGGGAAAAAACCCTCAAAATGATCTGATTACATGTCCAATGGTGTGAATATTTTACATTTTTTTTCCTACTCTGTGACAGTAAACTGAAAAACAAACAGTTGATGATGTCATCTTGGGCTGTGGGACAGTGATCAATATGTTCACCTTTTCTGGTGTTTTGTAGACCAAACTAATCAGTTAATCAAAAAAAAAAAAAAAAGAAGACAAAAAACAAGAAACAAAACAGATAGATTAACTAATGGTGGAAAAAATCATTTGTTGCAGCCCTACTAGCAAATTTGCAGACTAATTAAAATGCAGCACAAAATATGTGTTTATGTAATATGATAGTGTTTGATCTT